GTATTATACATGGAGATCATATCCCCCCTTATGTATTATACACGGTGATCATATCCCCCCTTATGTATTATACATGGAGATCATATCCCCCCTTATGTATTATACATGGAGATCATATCCCCCCTTATGTATTATACATGGAGATCATATCCCCCCTTATGTATTATACATGGAGATCATATCCCCCCCTTATGTATTATACATGGAGATCATATCCCCCCCTTATGTATTATACATGGAGATCATATCCCCCCTTATGTATTATACATGGAGATCATATCCCCCTTATGTATTATACATGGAGATCATATCCCCCCTTATGTATTATACACGGTGATCATATCCCCCCTTATGTATTATACATGGAGATCATATCCCCCCCTTATGTATTATACACGGTGATCATATCCCCCCTTATGTATTATACATGGAGATCATATCCCCCCTTTATGTATTATACATGGAGATCATATCCCCCCTTATGTATTATTATACATGGAGATCATATCCCCCCTTATGTATTATACATGGGGATCATCATATCCCCCCTTATGTATTATACATGGAGATCATATCCCCCCTTATGTATTATACATGGAGATCATATCCCCCCCTTATGTATTATACATGGTGATCATATCCCCCCTTATGTATTATACATGGAGATCATATCCCCTTCTTATGTATTATACATGGTGATCATATCCCCCCTTATGTATTTTACATGTTGATCATATCCCCCCTTATGTATTATACATGGAGATCATATCCCCCCTTATGTATTATACATGGAGATCATATCCCCCTTATGTATTATACATGGTGATCATATCCCCCCTTATGTATTATACATGGAGATCATATCCCCCTTATGTATTATACATGGAGATCATATCCCCCCTTATGTATTATACATGGAGATCATATCCCCTTATGTATTATACATGGAGATATTTTACGTTTTTACAGCTGCTGTTTTTGGCTTTTGGCGTTTTTTTCTACAGCCAGTAAACCCCCCAGCATGTTATCCTATGTGTCCATGCACACATTTTTTTTATTATTATTATACAGTATTTATAAAGCGCCAATAGTTCACTCAGCGCTGTACATTACAAAGGGGGACAGAACATGTGACAAAACAATACCAATGCAATGCAAAACATGAGGGGATTGAGGGCTCTGCTCTTTCGAGCTTACAATCTAGAAGGGACGGGATAGTGGTACAGGAGGAGATAGCTGTGGGGGATGGAGTGGTAGGAAGAGTAGAGGAGGTCGGTCAAGTTAGCAGGGGGTGGGGTAGGCTTCCCTGAAGAGATGGGTTTTCTCAGGGTGCGCCTAAAGGGGAGGAGAGTAGGTGATAATCTGATGGGTTGGGGAAGGGAGTTCCAGAGGATGGGTGACACCCTGGAGAAGTCCTGGAGGCGGGCATGGGAGGAGGAGACCAGGGAACTAGAGAGAAGGAGGTCTTGTGAGGAGCGGAGTGTGTGTGCTGGGTGGTACATGGATATTAGGTTGGTGATGTAGTTCGGGGCAGTATGGTGGACAGCTTTGTACGTCAGTGTTAGGATTTTAAATTTGATCCGTTGCGCAATCGGAAGCCAGTGGAGGGATTGGCAGAGGGGGGTGGTGGAAACGCAGCGGTTGGAAAGGTGAATGAGTCTGGCAGCCGTATTCAGAATCGACTGAAGCGGGGATAGCCAGCGGCGAGGCAGGCCAGTGAGGAGGGAGTTGCAGTAGTCGAGTCGTGATATGATGAGAGAGTGGATGAGCTGTTTAGTGGTTTCTGGGGTTAGGAACGTGCGGATTTTGGCGATGTTGCGGAGGTGGAGTCTGCACGAGTTTGTTAAAGATTGGACTTGGGGCTGGAAGGATAGGTTGGAGTCTAGAATGACACCAAGTACTCTGGCCTGCAGGGCGGGTTTGATATTGGCGTTGTTGGATGTGATGGAGAAGTCAATGGGGGGTGGGGTTCGGGCTGGGGGGAAGACAAGAAACTCGGTTTTGGAGAGATTCAGTTTAAGGAAGTGGAGTGACATCCAATCTGATATGTCGCTCAGTAGGTGTGTGATTCGGGCAGAAACCGAGGGGGTGAGGTGGGGGGTTGAGAGGTAGATTTGTGTGTCGTCAGCATAGAGGTGGTAGTTGAAGCCGTGAGAGTGTATGAGTTGGCCAAGGGAGGAGGTGTAGATGGAGAAGAGAAGGGGCCCAAGGACAGAGCCTTGAGGGACCCCAACAGAGAGGGGGAGTGAGGGGGAGGTGGTAGCATTATAGGTAACGCTGAAAGAGCGTTGTGACAGGTAGGATGAGAGTCAGGAGAGAGCAGAATCTCTGAGGCCGAGGGAGTGTAGTATTTTGAGGAGGAGGGGGTGGTCAACTGTGTCGAAGGCCGCAGAGAGGTCAAGGAGTAGGAGCACTGAATAGTGGCCATTAGCTTTGGCGGTTAGAAGGTCGTTGGAGAGTTTGAGTAAGGCGGTTTCGGTGGAGTGTAGGGGACGGAAGCCAGACTGTAGGGGATCGAGGAGGTTGTTGTCGTTGAGGTGAGAGCATAGGCGGGTGTAGACGAGGCGCTCGAGGAGTTTAGATGTAAGTGGGAGCAGGGAGATGGGTCTGAGGTTGTTCGGGTCATTGGGGTCCAGGGAGGGCTTTTTAAGTATGGGGGTGATGTGTGCATGCTTCAGTGGGGAGGGGAAAGTGCCGGAGGAGAGGGAGAGATTAAAGATGTGGGTGAGGGAGCGTAGGATGGAGGGGGAGGGAGGTCGTAGGAATTGTGAGGGGATAGAGTCGAGGGGGCAGGTGGTGAGGCGGGCATCAGAGAGGATCTTGGAGACTTCCTCGATGGTAGTAAGGTCAAAGGAGTGGAGTGTTGGGGGAGCTTCAGTATGAGGAATGTAGGGTGGGGTGGAAGAGGAGGTCAGGGCAGTGGTGGGGCCGTGGGAGAGGGGTGATGAGGGGGTAGCTGAGTGAGGGGGAACGGGGTTGGAGGGAGTTTGAGCAGTGACGAAGTCCCTGCGGGTAATGTCGAGGGGGAGGGGGGATGAGGGGGTAGCTGTGTGAGAGGGGACGGGTTGAGAGGACGTGTGAGTTGCGGCAATGTCCTTGCGAATTGTGTCAATCTTGTTTTTGAAGTGATTGGCAATCTCAAGGGCGGTGAGTGAGGTGCTGGGTGGAGGTGGGGGTGGAGAGAGAGAGTAGAGAGTTGAAGATGGAGAAGAGTTGGCGAGGGTTGGAGGAGAGGGTCTTGATGAGGGTCAGGAGGTAGGCTTGTTTGGCTGCATGGAGGGAGGAGGTGTAGGTGCGGAAGGCAGATTTGTAGTGGGTGAAGGCTTGTTGGGATTGTGTTTTGCGCCATAGTCGCTCCAGGGCACGACTGTGTCGTTTGAGGGTTTTTGGTGTGATCAGTCTGCCAGGGCTGGAGCAGTCGGGGTCTGATGTTGCGTGTGGTTAAAGGCGCTAGTGAGTCAAGGGCTGTTGACAGCGCGTTGTTGTAGGCAGTCATAGCCAAGTCGGGGCAGGACAGGGGGAGGATGCTGTCATGGAGTTGCTCAGCTGCAGAGTGGAGGGGGGCAGGGTTAAGGTTGCGGAGGTTACGGCTGGTAGTAGTGTGACATTTGGAGGGGTAGGCTGGAATCAGAAATTTTTGGCTGGAAAAAAAACCCACCCAGAACTAGTGGGCTTCTAGAGGAGTTCTTTTAGCTGTAAAAACGCTCTAATGCGGGAAAAAAACGCAGCAAAACGTGGTAAAATGCTGCAAACCTGCATTTTTGGACTTTTTTTTACCAAAAAAAATAGGGTTTTTTTGGGGGAAAAAAACGCTAAAAGCTGCAAATGTGGAAAAACACAGGAAAACGCCACTAATGCAAAACGTGACTTTACACAGCTAACGTTACCAGCGTTATCAAAACTCCCCGTATGCATGAGGGCTCAAATCTGCAGATCAGTGCGATGTATACCTTCGATTTCACTGCAGCTTGCGACTTCATTTAATAGAAGTCAATGCAAGTCACAATGAAATCGGACAATAAGTAGTTCATGAACTATTTTTGAAATCACGCTGCTTCAAATCGCCCTGATGAAGACAGTGCCATAGGAATACATTAGATGCGACTTCAGCTGTGATTTGTAAATCGCATGTCGAAGGGCTGAGCTGTGCTTTCAGACCTGTCCCACAACCTACTGGGGCATGTGTCATGTTCAAGGAGGCCGCGAGGAGGGTGAACCTCCGTAGTGGGTACCCCCAATTGCACATCTAAACAAAGCTCAAGGGTGAATCCCCCAGTGGGGACACAGACAGCAATAAAAAGCTGACAAAGGTTCTAACCCTACCCACTGTTATCTAAGGTGCCTTTCGGTCGGGGCAGATCCGTCAGCGTCATCCACCTGCTCAGCGGGGGGATCTCTCCACTGATCAACGCCGAGCAGGCAGATGCTGCAGAGCGGATACAGACACTGCCTCCTGATTTCAATGCGACGATCGGATTAAAACGGACCGCCTATCCGTTTCCACCCAATTGGCACCCGATCCGCTGGACGAATGGGGATCAGATCCCCATCCTTCTGTTTTTGGCGTACAGGATCAGATCAGATGCCAGAGGGTGTCAGCGGACTATTGTCCACTGACACCCCCCGGTCCATAGAAGTCTATGGATGGACCAATTAGGTCCGCCTGTCCGTTTTTCAGTCCGCTCATGTGAAAGGGGCCTTAAGCTTGAAAAAATAGTATCTGTGAATACAATGGGTGACATTAATTCAAATTGAAGTGCTCAGGTTCTGCTGCATCTGGGCATGGGAGCCAATCAGCATCTAACAGCAACTTGTTCAATTAGGTTTTGACAATAAAACCTGGAAGCTGATTGGTTACTATGCATAGCAATGTATTTACAGTTACATATTACTTTGATTAAAAATTAATTACTTTAAATATGATAATGGAAGTGTGACCGATCAAACGGTTCATATGTGAGAATTATTTAAATACATATTTAAAGTGTTTTTGGGCAGCACAGTGGCTAAATGGTTAGCACTTCCGCCTGGCCAGGGGCGGACTGACCATTCGAGCACTCGGGCACTGCCTGAGGGCCCGGGGTCAGTAGGGGGCCCCATGAAATGCCCCTGGTACCTTTTTTATAGGCTTTTTTGAGTGTGGGCAAGGACACAGGGGCCCCATATCCCCTATTGCCCGGGGGCCCCATGAGTTGTCAGTCCGCCTCTGCGCCTGGCAGTACTAGGGTCGTTGGTTCGTATCCCAGCCACCGCACCTCCTGCCTGGACCAGGGGCGGACTGACCATTTGGAAACTCGGGCACTGCCCGAGCGCCCGGGGTCAGTAGGGGGCCCCATGAGATGGACACTAAACAGGCTGAACTGCTGTAATACTGACACTCAGTGGCTGAATATCTCCTTGCCATGGGAACTCTGCCATACTGAAGTCTCAATCTGCTCAACCCAGCTCTGATGAAGAAGGGAGCACCCTTCGAAACACGTTAGCCTTCATTCCCCCCCCTTTTGGATTTACCTGTAACCCTGTTTGGATTATGGTTACTTATGCCTGTTATACCATCACTTTGTGAGTATATTTCCTTAATAATAAAATTAGTCACTATTTATTGAGGTAATGCGCAAGGTTTGTGCGCTCTTTCTTTCATCTTCTTCTACAGTTTTATCAAGCTTCCCCAGCTTCATGATAGAGCTGCACAACCTCTGATCACCAGCGGATGAACACACAACACGCTGCTTGTCACTGACGCCTGTTTGATCTGAGTCTTTGAGCGCAGGAGATAATGGATCTTTGGTGGCCCCTGGTACCTTTTTCATAGGCTTGAGTTTGGGCAAGGACACAGGGGTCCCATGATCCCCTATTGCCCGGGGGCCCCATGAGTTGTCAGTCCGCCCCTGGCCTGGAGTTTGCATGTTCTCCCTGTGCCTGTGTGGGTTTCCTCCTGGTACTCCGGTTTCCTACCACACTCCAAAGACATGCTGGTAGGATAATTGGATCCTGTCTAAATTGGCCCTTGTATATGAATGTGAGTTAGGGAGCTTAGATTGTACGCCCCTTGAGGGTTAGGGACTGATGTGGATGTACAATATATATGTAAAGCGCTGCGTAAATTGACGGCGCTATATAAGTACCTGAAATAAATAAAATAAAAATATTTATTTATTTCAGGTACTTATATAGCGCCGTCAATTTACGCAATGCTATTCATGTATATTGTACATTTACATTGTTACAAAGTTACATAGTTAGTCTGGCTGAAAAAAGACAAAAGTCCATCCAGTTCAACCATAGAAAAAAAAAAAAAAAGTTATAATCCTACACCCACAGTTGATCCAGAGGAAGGCAATAAACCCAGCAAAGCACGATCCAATTTGCTCCTGCTGTGGAAAAAATTCCTTCCTGATCCCCCGAGAGGCAATCGGATATTCCCTGGATCAACTTTACCTATAAATAATCTACATCAGTCCCTAACCCTCATGGGGCGTACGATCTAAGGTCCCTAAATCACAGTCATTTACCCCAGGTTCACACCTAAGCGTTTTCTGCAGTGTTTTGCAGAAACGCGCATTACAGTCCATTTAACTTGATTTCCTATGGGACATCTTCACACCTGTGCGTTATCATCCAGTGCGTTTCTTGGAAAGGGTTAGGGACTTTTGTTCTTTCTATAGACTTCAATGGAAATGCAGCAGAGAAGCATGTATTGTGTTTTTGATGCATTTTAAATCTGCCTAGCAACAAGAAAAATATAAAAAAATGAAAAAAAAATGCATCAAAGCAAGTGCATATTAAACATGATAAATTAAAATAATTCTCACATATAAACCATCTGACTTTTTTCGCTTCTATAGACTTTAATGGAAACGCTGCAGAAAAGCATGTATTGCGTTTTTGCTGTGTTTTTGCCATGTTTATGATGCGTTTTGCATTTTAAATCTGCTTAGCAACAAGAAAAATGGGAAAAAAATGAAAAAAAAACTCAGCAAAATGCATTAAAGCAAGTGCAAAAATTGCACAAATGCACCCTGTATGTGTGTGAACCTAGGCTTAGACAGGAGCCAATTAACCTATTAGCACGTCTTTGGAGCGTGGGAGGAAACCCGAGCACCCGGAGGAAATCCATGCAGGCAAAGGAAGAACATGCAAACTCCAGGCAGGTGGTGCTGTGGTTGGGATTAGAACTGACAACCCCAGTGCTGCCAGGCGGATGTGTTAGCCATTTAGCCACTGTGCCGCCCCATATAATAATATGTCATATTATACATGATAAATTTAAATCATTCTCACATATAAACCATCTGACTTTTTTTTTGCTTCTATATACTTCAAATCAGGGGCAGACTGACAACTCATGGGGCCCCCGGGCAATAGGGGATCATGGGGCCCCTGTGTCCTTGCCCAAACTCAAAAAAGCCTATGAAAAAGGTACCAGGGGCATCTCATGGGGCCCCCTACTGACCCCGGGCTCTCGGGCAGTGCCCGAGTTTCCAAATGGTCAGTCTGCCCCTGCTTCAAATGAAACACTGCAGAAAAGCACGTATTGCATTTTTGCTGTTTTTGATGCATTTTATATCTGCCTAGCAACAAGAAAAATAAAAAAAATTTAAAAAAACAAAGCGCAAAACGCATCAAAGCAAGCGCAAAAAATGGCTCAAATGCAACCTGCATGGGTGTGAACCTTAGGAGCCAATTAACCTCCCCAGCGGTCTGATTATGTCCATATTTCTGTGCTGAAAGCGGTACATTTTTTTGCATGGAAATATGTATTTTTTCTATTGTAGGCTGTAATATTTAGGAATAACTCACTGAAATCTGTACGAACAAGAGTCTAGTAAACATCCCAGGTATGATAAAATTTGAAACACGAAATCATAAATTAAAATGTAATAAATAATCATAAAAAATAATAATATAATAAAAATAAATGTAATTCAATAATATAATCAAACCAAAAACACTGAAATTTGAAATATAGCGCCAAGTTCGCACATCGCTGAGCAAAGTCGCAAAATCGTTTTCAGTGTCTGATGAGGAATTTCCCCCACGAATCATTATCACTGAATTCTGCAAGTGGTTCTGATTTACTATCGCTGTTCTCTAGCCGGTCTAAAACCGCTTTTGACCTAAAGGGACGCTTTTTGGACGCCGTGGACATTTCTCAGTTTCCAGGCAGAAAGAACAGTAAAAATGCAGGCAGGGCACAGGACAAAACACTCGGGACAAAATGTATGTGAAATGGTTTGATACAGGAATGTAATACTATGTGATTTTAGTGTATTTAGTGAATGTCACTTTTTGTCATTTTCAAATTTCCCACCAGTTCCGTCCCCCGTACGTCCCGACGCTCGCAGGGAACGGAACCCAGAAGACAGATGCCGGCATTGGCCGGAGGACATTACAGGGGACACTGCAGGAGGGATATCACAGGAGCGCAGGGCAAGGTAAGAGAAGAACAAATCCTGAAGCAGCGCCGCATGGTAAGCCCGAGTGTAGCTCGGGGTTACCGCTTGTGGTGCTGAAACTTTACCCCGAGCTACACTCAGGAATACCGCCAGGGAGGTTAACCTATTAGCATGTCTTAGGAGTGTGGGAGGAAACTGGAGTACTTGGAGGAAATCCACGCAGGAACAGGGAGAACATGCAGACTCTAGGCAGGTGGTGCCGTAGTTGGGATTGGAACCAATGACCCCAGTGCTGCCAGGCGGATGTGTTAGCCATTTAGCCACTGTGCTGCCCCATATAATAATATGTCATATTATACATGATAAATTGAAATCATTCTCACATATAAACCATCAGACTTTTTTTTGTTTCTATATACTTCAAATGAAACGCTGCAGAAAAGCACGTATTGCATTTTTGCTGTTTTTGCCACGTTTTTGATGCATTTTAAATCTGCCTAGCAACAAGAAAAATAAAAAAAATGAAGAAACCAAAGCGCAAAACGCATCAAAGCAAGCACAAAAATGGCTCAAATGCAACCTGCATGGGTGTGAACCTAACCTTAGGAGCCAATTAACCTATTAGCATGTGTTAGGAGTGTGTGAGGAAACTGGCGTACTTGGAGGAAATCCACGCAGGCACAGGAAGAACATGCAGACTCTAGGCAGGTGGTGCTGTGGTTGAGATTGGAACTGACAACCCCAGTGCTGCCAGGCAGAAGTGTTAGCCATTTAGCCACTGTGCTGCCCATATAATAATATGTCATATTATACATGATACATTTAAATCATTCTCGCATATAAACCATCTGACTTTTTTTGTTTCTATAGACTTCAATGGAAACGCTGTGTTTTTGCCATATTTTTGATGCGTTTTAAATCTGCTTAGCAACAAGAAAAATTAATTTTTTTTTAAAAAAACCAAAGCGCAATACGCATCAAAGCAAACGCAAAAATGGCTCAAATGCAACCTGCATGGGTGTGAACCTTAGGAGCCAATTAACCTTTTAGCATGTCTTTGGAGTGTTGGAGGAAACCAGAGTACCTGGAGGCAGGGGTGGACTGACAACTCATGGGGCCCCCGGGCAATAGGGGATCATGGGGCCCCTGTGTCCTTGCCCAAACTCAAAAAAGCCTATGAAAAAGGTACCAGGGGCATCTCATGGTGCCCCCTACTGACCCCAGGCCCTCGGGTAGTGCCCGAGTTTCCAAATGGTCAGTCCGCCCCTGCCTGGAGGAAACCCACGCAGGTACAATAATATGTCATATTATACATGATATATTTAAATCATTCTCACATATAAACCATCTGATCTGTCACACTTCTATTATCATATTTACACTTTAAATTCTTCTAAGTAATGCTAAATAATGATGCAGGGGCGGACTGACAACTTATTGGGGCCCCCAGGCAATAGGGGATCATGGGGCCCCTGTGTCCTTGCCCAAACTCAAAAAAGCCTATGAAAAAGGTACCAGGGGCATCTCATGGGGCCCCCTACTGACCCCGGGCCCTCGGGCAGTGCCCGAGTTTCCAAATGGTCAGTCCACCCCTGTAATGATGTTTTTTGATGTTTTAACACAGATCATTATCTAGGTAGTATGATGTGAACGAGAAAACAAAGACATAAAATAGCGGGATGATAGGAACACTGAGATGAAGACATGGAAATCATAAGACATCTCTCAGTTAAAGGTCGAAGGGACTTGCTAATCTGCGGGAATGATCTGCAATGTTGATGATATCTTCACTCCCGGGGAAGCGGCTGTACTGGGTGAACTACATTATACAAAGAATAAACTGTACTGGGTTCTCTATAAAAACTGCGCCGTCATTATAATACTGATATCCTTTCAATGGAAATGGAATTCATAATCCCGTACTTAGCAGACATAAAACTGTCTGCATTTGATATCTTTATGAGCCTGCGTCTAAGGCACTCACATTCTGTATTTAAAGCCCAACTCCAAGCTTTTTTTTTTTTTTTTTAAACTGGACCTCCGGAAGGTTTTATCCCCTTCATGACCGAGGCATTTTTTGCTATTCAGCACTGCACTACTTTAAAACCTTCCCACCGACGTCACACAAATATGCGGCCTCACAGAACTGGGCTTTTTTTCCGTGGGGCCGCATATTTGCGTACCTTTCTTTGTGCTCGGCGCGCTCCCAGCACCGAGACCGTGGTGTCACTGAGAGCACCGGGTCCCGTTCTAACGATCGGGACCCGGGACTCCCGTTTCCGGGTCACGTGATCGCTGTGATAGCCTCTCATTGGCTATCACAGTGATCAATCACTGTGCAGCCTGGCCCCCTTGTTTTTTTCTCTCTCTATGAATGGAGAAGAGAGATACATTGTATCTCTCTAACTCCTGGCATAGAGAGAAATTTTTTTTTGAAAAATAAATAAATATTAAAAAAGAAAAGAAAAAATAAAGAAAAATACCTAAATCAAGGTTTGATGTAGTTCAGTGCCAGGGTCAGTGTTTGAGTCAAGCTCAGGGTCAAAGGTCAGGATTTAAAAAAAAAATTGGTATCAGTGTCAGTTAGTGTTA